TTATTGACAATCCCTCAGGCGAAATCCACTGATGAAGGCACATATATCTGTGAAACGGATGACATACATCCTGGTCACACGATCTCTTCTCCACCTGCACTTATCCATGTTCAAAATCGTATGTTCTTTGCACACTATTGCACGTTATTTTTCCGTTGTGTTTCTTTTGTTTTATTAATCTTTTTCAGAAATTCTGTCTGATTTCAAATTCGTATGTCTGCACATATTGCATGATCAATGAGGCGGGCATTTTATAGATGAAGTGCCTGTAATTGATCCTCCATTGCAAACTGCAATGGCTGGTAAGCCAGCCGAAATACACTGTTGGCTACCTAACAGACCGTACGCTTCGTTGAGATGGCGTAAAGAAGAGGGAAAGATTGCTGAAGATGCTATTGACAAGGATGGTACATTGACGATCCCAAACATAAAATCTTCGGACGAGGGCAACTATATTTGCTTTACGGATGATATTCATCCCGGACACACAGTTTCTTCAGCACCCGCACACATTCTTGTTGAGCATTGTATGAGTTTTGCACTGCACTTTCATTCTTCATACCGTTATCCGTTCCTTTCGAAACAGTCATCTAAAAATGCAAGCCATCTCTCAGGGAAAAGTCAAAAGTTTCGACGGTATCAAAAATTTGCGTACAATTCGATTGATTGTTTAATATTCCATTAGTAGGCATTCAGCCACCTGCGCACTCAAGATGAGCATATTGTAGCTCAAGTACCTGAAATTAATCCCCCGCAACAGACGGTAGTGGCTAATCAAACCGCCCAAATAAACTGTTGGTTACCGGATCGACCATACGCGACCTTACAATGGCGTAAGGAAGATGGGGATCTAAGTGATAAGGCTGTTGATAAGGACGGTATATTGACAATTCCGAATGTTAACAGTACTGATGAAGGCACTTATGTATGTTTCACAGAGGACGTGCATCCCGGACATATTATCTCCTCGGCACCTGCCCTAATCCATGTTCAGAATCGTAGGTTCCTTGCTCTTCTGCAATTTCCAACGCATCCATCGCTCTAAATTTCTCCTATCTGCTTTAATTCTTTAACAATGTCAAACTCTGTCGAAATCCCACCGATTTTCAAGCGTGGAACTGTGGGGAATGTTGCCCCTACTTAAGCTGATTTTCTTATAGCGCAAATACCTCAAGTCGATCCCTCTCAACAGACCGTAACTGTCAATTCAGTAGTGCGAATCAGTTGTCGCCTACCTGGTCGACCATATGCAACACTGCAATGGCGTAAGGAGGGTGGTGATATCAGTGATAAAGCCACTGACAACGATGGCGTATTAACTATTCCTGATGTAAACATTTCTGATGAAGGCACATATGTATGTTTTACGGATGATGTTCATCCTGGGCACACAATTTCTTCTGCACCTGCACTTGTTCATGTTAAAAAGCGTATGTTCCTTAAACTGTCGCTTTTCCTAATTTTTGTTGATTTGCTCTGTCGTTTTTTTTTCACTTTCAACTTTTTTGTGTATTATTTCCGGCCTGATCAATTTACAGCTGATGTGCTTGTGATTGACCCACCTCAGCAAACAGTGACCATAAATGAAACTGCTCAAATACAGTGCAGTGCACCAAATAGGCCTTACGTCACGCTTAGATGGCGTAAGCAGGATGGGGTTATCAATGAGAATGCCACAGATATCAGTGGATTTTTGACAATCCCTCAAGCGAGATC